CCAATTTACCATCCATTTAGCCAATTACAAAAAATTACCTCCAGCAGAGAGGGACTTCATTCTCTCTTTTCCACTTGAACATTATTTTTACAGCCAATATTTTTAAGTACTGTACTGAGGTAACAATATTCAATTCCCTAAATGTCCATATTGTGTTGAAATATATTGATTGGAATCAGTTTAAATTTGGAGACAATTTTTATTTTCATGGAATTATGGTGAGTATTTTGTACATAAAACAACAATTAAAATTATTTTATGTGAGTCTAAGGGAAAATGAGACTCAACTTTGGGACATTTCAACTTAGGGACACTCTTTATGCACAAATTACGTCCGCATCTCGGGGTCTCACTGTAATTTTCATTTTGATTTTTTTATGTAACAACAACAAGAAAATTTTGCTTGAAAAAACGCATTTAAATTGGTGTAGAGTATGTTATGTTGAATAGCACTGAAGTGTTGCCAAATGCAGCGGGGCTATACAAGTTCAAAAATAATTTTGGAATTGCTTAAACTGTGTTAATTGGATCTAATTTCAAAAAAAAAGTTGCAAAACTTATGAACCAACCCTCTTACATGTGACAGTCTTCTTTGATCGTAATGGGAAATATTTTGTTGGGTTCTCGCTTCTCGGAAACCCACCATTACGTTGCCCGAATTGAGGTTATGCGGAGTGTAAGTTTTTTGAATCCAGGAAACTTTCCGACGAAAGGTCACTGAACTTTCAGAGCTTGCCCAATTTACTTCTAAAAAATCTCCCCCCCCCCCCGCAACTTGATGGTGGATCTGTTATTTATTGAGATAATGAGATACATACCCTCGACGACGCTGATTAAATCCACTCCACCTCAGCAGCATCACGAACGCAATCAATAATCTTTATATCGTTGACATCTTTACCTTTGTCAAATACTCGTAAGGCTTCTTCCTGCTCTCGTCGAGGTTGCCAAGGGGAACTGGATCGGTTGATATTCACCGTTTTTGGGGGTTTTCTTGATGTAAACTGTCGATTCTTTTTTTTTTTTTAGAGTTTCATTATTCCTTCTTTTTTGAATTTTTTGAAACAGGCGTATGCTAATGCAGGAGCCCGGATTCAGGAAGACATTACGGAAGCTTCTGTCATCATTGGAGTCAAGCAAGTACCCATCGATGCCCTGATTCCCAACAAAACCTATTGCTTTTTCTCGCATACCATCAAAGCGCAGGAAGCGAACATGCCCTTGTTGGACGCACTGCTGGAAAAGGTCTGGAGATTTTAAAACATTTAATTCAATTTTTTCGTTATCCGTTTAACATGTATTTCTATGTATTGTGGGAGAAAATTGGCAGCGGTTCTCCATGATTACAATAATTTTTTTCGTGTCTTATGTTGACTTTCTCGATTTATGCGGATTTTTCCTGTCAATGTATATGATGCCTCGTCAAGTGACCTGCAGGATTATTTTAGCGACTGAAAGTACATGTTTTTTTTATCAGAGCAGTGAAAGAAATATTATTTAACCCTTGGGCGGCAAAGTTGGACTATTTTTGCAAAATTTTGTTGCCTCAGAGAGGAAAAGAAAAATATGAAAACAGGGAGTTGAGGACAAAGTCAGGAAAAATTCCAATGTTTTTTTTCTTTTTGCACAGAAACATTTTGCAGGAAAATAAAAAAATGGTATATTATGCAACAGGCTTTTTGCGGATTAATCCTGACTTCGCCTCAGCCCACCTGGAAGGGCTTTTCTGACCTTCAGAAAACTTAAATTGGCCCAGCAAACAAAAATAATCCGACTTTGGCCGGCAATGGGAAAAAACCCTCCACTGTCCAAGGGTTAAAAATTTTCATCAGCTTTTACGGCAATATGAAAAATCGAAATTCTTGCAACCATGACAATATAACGATGAAATTTCAATAAAAAAGTTTATGCATCAGAGGTTCGTTTGTGATCTGAAGCCATCATCAATCCGAAAGATCAAGTAATACAAAATTCATTTATATCAGTAAACTAGCACTTGTTCAAATCATTCGAAACTGCTTGCCTTACCTTTTATTACTGCAGGCAAGTTTTATGCTGAACAAAAAAAATTGTTTGAAGCTCACCTGAAAGACATGCGGAGTTCGGCATGAAAAAAATCATGACATTTTTCAAAATTCGACATTGCATTCCCTACACAGAACATTAGGTTGATCGACTACGAAAGGATGGTGAATGATGAAGGTCAAAGAGTTGTTGCGTTTGGGATTTATGCCGGTGTAGCAGGGATGATCAACATTCTGCACGGACTGGGACTGAGGTTACTTGCACTTGGCCATCATACTCCTTTTATGGTAAGGCTAAAAATGTACATAAGAAATCATTTTTCCTGAACCATATGACTATTTAAAAAAAAACATTGGGTCCTATTTCATTGGTCAAAACACAATCAAACCTCTTTGCATCAAATCCAGATGTACATACAAATAAAATTCAGCTTTAAGAGTTGTGAGGGGAGAAAACCCGCATTTTGTTGGCAAGAAATTGAAGAAATTAAATCTGTGATTTTCTATGCCTCAGAGTAGTGGGTGAATGAGTTGTCAGGATACTGAACTAGAAATTAAGGGTATATTTGCTCAATTGTTCCTTTTAAAAACCATCAAGTTAATTTTTTATTGCTCTTCTCTTTCTTGGGTTCTTAGAATGCCACAAATATCTCTAGAAATTTGAGTTACACAGGTTTTAGCTGGAAAGTCTATTTTATTATACTCTCTCATGGGGATTTAAAAAAAGGACTAAAGAAAAAATTGACATTTAAGGATGAATTTGACAGAGGGAGTCTTGACTCTTGAGTAAGCAAGATATATGATTGTAATACAGTTGAACCTCTCTAAGTCAAATTTCAAGGGACCAGCAAAAACATCCAACTTAAAGAGGTTTTGAATAATATAGGTTTGAGCTACAATACAAAGCTCTTTTATTCTTGGAAACATAGAAAAATTGCCCAGAATTGTAAATAGTTATATTCTGGGGCTTAAATTGCATCTTAAATGAGTTGAAAGGATTCTGAACTTGTATAGACAAGGGTTCATTTGCCCAATAATGTCTTTCACTTCCTTTTAAAATTCATCAATTTCTGTCTTTATGGCTCTTTTCTTTCTTCTGTCAAGAAAATAATTGCCAGTAGGCTGCAGAAAATTCAACGTACAAAGGTTTGAGGGGAGAAGCTTTGAACTTGGGGAGGTTTTTCATGTTTTGTTTCCAAGGGGATGATTCAGACTGGGATCTGAAAAAAATGACTTAGAGGGATATTTGACTTGAGGAGGATGGAGTTATATCAGGTTTATCTGTATGTTGATTTCTGTATCCACAGTATGCTCAAAAACTCACAACAAATGATAAAAAGGAATTCGAAGTTTTTTTAGTAATAAAATTGTTACTGCAATCATAATTGTTATACTGTACTTTTTGACAGCACTGTAAGTTGTGTTGTTGTGGATTTCCATTTTTACAGCATGTTACAATAAAAAGCTTAAAAAATGATAGAAAGGAAATCAAATTTTGACAATTATTAATTTATTACTGTAATCATAATTTTTGTATTTTTCGTCAGTTTCAGGTTGTGGAAAAAACTTACCATGCTGATGTGTGCGTTTTCTCCTTTTTGTGCCATTCTTTTGAAAAGTTTTCTTTAAAATCTATTTTCTCCTGCTTATTAAGGGAAGTGAATTTCGTGAGGGCTTCCAGTTCCCGAAGGAAAAGCCATCACAATTTTCGGGTTGCGAAAAGCGTTGACCCTTCTCTTATTATTCTGCACAAGAAAATTGAGTTTCACATTCAACGAACACCCAGTATATTACAATTAACAAATCAAACGTTGGAAAAACGAATCTTTTATTTTATTCGTCCTGGATATATGATGCATCACTAACATTTTTTTTCTCTTTTAATGTTTACAGCACATTGGACCTGCGCATAATTACAGAACAACTGAAATGGCGAAAGCCGCTGTCCGAGACGCGGGCTACGAAATATCCTTGGGGAACATGCCCAAGTCCTTGGGAGTCATGACTTTCATCTTCANAGGAGAAGTGAAATACAAATGAAATAGATGCGCACCACGTTTAAGGTTATTTTTTGCTTTTTGAAAACGTGGTCTTTTAGATTAATTTTTTAATCTACTATAATTATTTTATTTTTTTTATTGCTCTTCTCTTTCTTGGGTTCTCAGAATGCCACAAATATCTCTAGAAATTTGAGTTACACAGGCTTTAGCTGGAAAGTCTATTTTATTATACTCTCTCATGGGGATTTAAAAAAAAGGAGTAAAGAAAAAATTGACATTTAAGGATGAATTTGACAGAGGGAGTCTTGAGTAGGCAAGATATATGATTGTAGCACAGTTGAACCTCTCAAAGTCAAATTTCAAGGGACCAGCAAAAACATCCAACTTACGGAGGTTTTGAATTATAGATGTTTGAGCAACAATACAAAGCTCTTTTATTCTGAGAAACATAGAATAATTGCCCAGAATTGTAAATAGTGATATTCTGGGGGCTTTAATTGCATCTTGAATGAGTTGAAAGGATTCCAAACTTGTATAGGTAGGGGTTCATTTGCCCTATAATGTCTTTCACTTCCTTTTAAAATGCATCAATTTCTGTCTTTATGGCTCTTTTCTTTCCTCTGTCAAGAAAATAATTGCCAGTAGGCTGCAGAAAATTCAACTTACAAAGGTTTGAGGGGAGAAGCTTTCAACTTGGGGAGGTATTTCATGTTTTGTTTTCAAGGGGATGATTCAGACTGGGATCTGGAAAAAAATTGACCTAGGGGGAAATCTGACTTGGGGAGGTTGGAGTTACTGTATCACATTCATTTGTATATTGATTTCTATATTCACAGTATGCTCGAAAATTCACATTAACAAATAATAAAAAGGAATTTGAAGTTTTTTCAGTAATAAAATTGTTACTGCAATCAAAACCGTTATACTTTTTGACAGCACTGTTAGTTGTGTTGTTGTGGATTTCTATTTTTACAGCATGCTACAAAAGCTTGAAAAATGATAGAAAGGAAATCAAATTTTGTCAATTAAAAAGTTATTTCTGTAATCATAATTGTTGCATTTTTCGTCAGTTTCAGGTTATGGGAAAAACTTACAATGCTGATGTTGTGTGCGTTTTCTCCTTTTTGTGCCATTTTTTGGAATTTAAAAAAAAATCTGTTTTCTCCTGCTTATTAAGGGAAGTGAATTTCGTGAGGGCTTCAAGTTCCCGAAGAAAAAGCCATCACAATTTTCGGGTTGCGAAAAGCGTTGACCCTTCTCTTATTAATCTGCACAAGAAAATTGAGTTTCACATTCAACGAACACCCAGTATATTACAATTAAGAAATCAAACGTTGTAAAAACGTAGCTGTAGTTTTCATCGTCCTGGTTATATTATGATACAGCATCAATAAAATTTTTTTCTTTCAATTTTTCCAGCACATTGGACCTGCGCATAATTACAGAACAACTGAAATGGCGAAAGCCGCTGTCCGAGACGCGGGCTACGAAATATCCTTGGGGAACATGCCCAAGTCCTTGGGAGTCATGACTTTCATCTTCACCGGATCCGGAAATGTGTCTCAGGGTGCCCAGGAAGTGTTCCGGGAATTGCCCATTGAAATGGTCTCACCCGAGATTTTGCCGAAAGTCTGCTCTCAAGGCCGTGAGTCACATTTTTCTCTTCTTGCTTTTTTTAAATAAAAATTTTTGCTCAAAATCAAAAAGGAGTTTAATATTTCTTTTTCATTCAGAACCCAATAAACTGTATGGTTGTGAAGTGAGTCGACCGGATCATTACAAGAGGAAGAATGGGGGGCGTTTTGACGCTGCGGAATTTGCTGAGCACCCAGAGAGATATTATTCATCCTTCAGCAAAAGTGTGAGTTTCTCAAGTGCGAAAATTATTGTGAAAGAATTCTTCCCAAAAATTATTTTTCCCTCATTTGAAATTGAAATATGCTGTATATAATACTGTATCGCCAACGCACAGTGAGCAAGAAGTTTTTCATTTTTTTGAATCAAAAAGTTATTTCAAAGAAGTTGTCACTGCTGGTTCTTGCCAAGAATATAGAAACCTTCGTATTTTTTCTTGTTGAAAAATGCAACCCTGGTTCATCATGGAATTTCTTTTTATCCTACTCTGAGGCCCATAGTCAGAGCCTTTTTACAATAATGTGCATTTTTATTCAGCAAAAGGTGACCAAAAAGAAGCCTATTATGGGGTGAGTTGACAAAGTCCGAAATTTTTGGGAGCACCAGAAATAATTCCAGAAATAACAAACAGAACGCAATGGCTGACAAATTAAAAGGGAATAGATGCAATATTTGCTACAAAATTATACAAGAACACAAATAAAAATGCACAAGAAGTCATATATTAATGTAAAAAGATATTCTTTTTATATCCAGCATGCTTTTTTCTTAATTTTTTTTTGTCCTCGAGTAATTTTTGCTGTTGCAAATTTTGAAATGGTCATCCAAAACTGTGACAATGTGATCAGTATGTAGCCAACATTCAAATACGTTTCATGTGCCGGAGTCCCCCCCCCCCCCCCCCCCCCCCCCCTACAGCATCGTTGAACAAAAGTTCAATCCGATAAATGCACCCCTGAGCCAGGATTCGTATCCTGGGAAGTGGCTCCGCGATTCCTCAAACGGTCTTGAAATCAGCAACTTGCCCCCCCCCCCCCCCCCCCCCCCCCCCCTGATGAACCACTATACCCCCAATAGACCGAAACTCTTGTTGAACCGCCAAAATCTTGCTGCACAGACGATGGCGGTTTAACGGGGTTTATTGACTGTACATTATTTTCTTTTGAAATCGGTGGTTTTTATTCAATCAATCAATCAATCCATCAGATTGCCCCTTACACCTCTGTGCTGATCAACGGGATTTACTGGGCAGTGGAGTCCCCGCGGTTGTTGACCATCCCGGACGCCAAGCAACTCAGCGAGCCCGTCGTGGCGCCGTGGCTCGCGGCGTCCCCGGGAGCGCCGACGTTACCCCACCGCCTGGTCGCCATCTGCGACATCTCCGCGGATCCCGGCGGCTCCATCGAGTTCATGACGGACTGCACCACGATCGACAACCCGTTTTGCATCTACGACCCCAGTCACCACACGACGCACTTCGACAGCTTCAAGGGCCCGGGTTTCCTCGTGTGCTCCATCGACAACATGCCGACGCAGTTGCCCCGAGAAGCCACGGACTTTTTCGGCGAGCTCTTGTTGCCGCACATGTACAGCATTTTGCAGTCGGATGCCCGGAAGAGCATGAATGACACGCATTTCTCGCCGGAAGTCACCTCTGTATGACCCACAAAAAAAAACAATAAAAAATTAATTAATTAATTAATACAATTTGTAATTAAAGTATTCTTTGCTAGTGATATTGCATGCTGTGAAAGATCAGCTGATGATCGTATTTCTCACAGGCATGGGATATATATGGCTATCATTCTGGGGGTGGGGCTGCAGTCCATGGAGTAACTCTAAAATTTAAAAAAAAAGGTTTACTCAGCTGTATTTATTATTAGCAGTACCATAAACTATGGGTCCTCAAAGAATTTATAAAATGAGATCAAATCCGTCTATACTGTATTGTATATACAATACATTTAATGAGTATTAATAAATAATGTTATGTTTGAAAACAATTGAAATGTTTCAGATGTCAATGTCTGATGTTGGTTTGATGCCAGCTGCAGTCATAAGTATTTTTCTGTCTTTGTCTCTCAAAATAGCGCCCTCCTGCATTATGATATTTCAATGCACAGACTTTGATTTGTGTCTCAGAAACATTTCTTCATTCCAAATTTTCTCGCAAGAAGGTAATAATATATATACTTAATGTTTTTTTCTTCAATATAGGCTGTGATCACAAGCAATGGGGAGCTAACCCCTGGATACCAGTACATTACTTCCCTGAGACAGAACATAGCGTGAGTTCTCCATTTGCATTACCTATTTTTTCAAATTTTTTTAAAATGTTTATATTGACATTGAAATCAAATTGAATTTGAAAAGTCAAAATTATAAATTTAAAAATGCAATTTGATTATTATTATAATTATTATTGCCTTATGCTGCTTCTTATTACCGATATTTTGTTTTTGTTATCAGGGAAGGGAAGAAAGTGTATGCATTTACATCAGTTGTGCAATTGTACATTTTGTGATGCATTTTCTTTTCTTTCAATATTCATACACAGCTTATTATTTCTCCGTTTTCCATTCTGATGTGATAGAATATGTGTTTGGATGAATGTGGGGACATTGCTTGAAGGCTGAAAAGCAGAAAATAAAGCTTGCTGTTCCAATTTAATTCAATTACAATATTTAAATGTTTTATTAAAATTGAAATCAAATTAAATTTTAAAATTCAAAAATGTAATTTGATAATTATTATTACTGTATTCAGTTACTTAATATTTAATTGCATACTTGAATTGTGTTGCAGCCTGAAATCAAGACAGAAGGTCAGTGGTGTGTCAATGGCAGAACCAAGACATAAGGTGCTGTTGCTTGGGGCAGGGTATGTCAGTGGCCCAGTTGTGGAATACCTGACAAGGGACAGAGGAGTCAAAGTCACAGTTGGTAAGACTTTCGATTTTTTAATCAAGTAGTCATAAAAGTATTGGGGATTGCTTGCTTACAAAGAGTTGTTCTTCTTTTTGATGGGTGAATTGCACAGTCTTTCAGCATAATATATACTAAGCTCTCCTTTTTCTGGTATAAGTTAAGGATAGGCCATCTATAGATTGAATAAGGTGGTATTTTCTGGACTATATTCTGACCAGATCTTTGTCAACTTTACTGGACCTCTCATTCTATACTTTTTACACTCAGGCCTGATGCCCTACTCTGCAATTTCAGGTAGGTGTCACCTGAATCACTTGCCTGACCAAACTTAATACAGTGGAATCTCTCTGCAATTATGTTCTTTGTAGTATATATACAAACAGTTTCCATAAAAAATTTTCTACTCTGGTCCCAGTAAACCTTCCATTAATTCACAAGCATTTACTCTGCTGGGATGTTTTCTACTTATAATGAACTCGTTTTTTTCTTTGAAAATTGTTGTCCAGAGAATCCACATGTATTAATGTCCTAGTTGAACTCAAGTTAACCAAACCTACCTGGAATGAACCTGAGGGTGGACCTAATGGATATTCTGTGTGACTCTTATAGAAGGCCTCTGGCTATTATTAACAAGCTATGTTTGTAGACACGCTGTTGAAGAAAGAAAAATATTTGTAAAATCATTTGCATGTGCATGTGCATGCTGATTGGTAAAATGCTGATGGTATAAAATTGTGAATTTGATAAAATTGATAAAATGCTGATGGTATACAATTGTGAATTTGATAAAATGCTGATGACCTAAAATTGTGAATTTGATAAAATGCTGATGGTATACAATTGTGAATTAGATAAAAAGCTGATGATATGAAATTGTGAATTTGATAAAATGCTGAGGGTATAAAATTGTGAATTTAAAATTGGTTTGGATACGTATGTGTAGTGATTCTGACAGTTCTCAAATTCCTGAAGGACAGCTCAGGAAGTTTAAAAACAACTTCCTGAAATTCATACAATTTTGGGTCTTGGAACAAGAAATTGTAAAATTTTTACTTTTGTTTCTCTCTTTCTGATTCCAGAAACAGGTCCAAAGTTTCAACTCAGAACTTGCTAAAGTTTGTTGTGTGTTTTTAACCAGAAAATATTGGCATTTGAAATTTTACAAGCAAGCTACGTTTTTCTCCAAGAAAAATGTGATTCCTTAAAATTGTTTTACCTGTTTTTTTATTGTGCTGCAAATCCATGGCTATTTTCATGCAAGAACATTTTAGTTTGTGCAAAAATCACAAAATAGTCAGCAAGATCAAGATATCCCAGGACTAAATCCCTTTTTTAATCCTCCATTGGCAATCTTATGGCAGGAAAGCTGAAAACGTCACCCAGTTGATAAATTTATTTTCCATCAAACATTTCATATATTCTAGGGGAAAAAAAGAATTTTTCTTGAACTAGGCCTTTTTGATCCGTTCAGGGTTTTTGAAAAAGTTTATTTATGTTTTCTTAATGAATGCTCAATTTTTCAAAAATATCCTGGCTTCTTAAATCACAGCTATATGAGCCTCATCAATTTCCCTCTTTTTTTTCCATAGATGACAAAGGACAGAGTCAGTTTGCTCAGGTGCATGAGCGCAAGAGTTTGAATTGCAATTGTTGAAAAAAGAAAATTGGTTTACTATATACAGTATATGTATAGGTAAACGAGTCTCATGCCTTTTTTTTTTTTGTATTTCCTGTGACGATGACGAAAAATTGTCAACTACATGCAGCCAGCACGTTGAAAGACGAAGCGGACTCGTTGGCCAACAGGTACCCGAACACGGTGCCCATCTTGCTGGACGTGCAAGAAGCCTCGGAGTCCCTGAATGCCGTTGTCAAAGAGCACGACATCGTGGTTAGCGTACTGCCGTACCACCTGCACCCCGTGGTGGCCGAGTGCTGCATCGAACACCGGCGAAACATGGTCACGGCGTCTTACTGCTCGCCTGCCATGCAAGAATTGCACAACAAGTATGTGCAGTACCTGTACTGTACACTACAAATGTTGATCATCATGTCCTTTTTTTTATTTTCATCACTTTTTCTTTTGTCGTCATCGGTCTCCCTTATATATGATGCAACATACCGTATATAATTTATGAATACTACCGTGGAAGCTGATGGGGGGTGCAACACACAAGCATCATTTTACCAATATTTAAATAAAACAATTACAATTATGATCTAGAGCTGCTGGTTGCATGTGTTCAAGGTCCTCATGTGTTAATCTTTTATTTTTGCTGTACTGTATTATAGTTCAGGGTTCCCAACATAGCCACACCTTAGCATCATATAAGCAACATTTAACAAATGCAGTTGGACCTCTATAAAACATTTTACCAATGTTTAAATAAAAATTAAAATTATTTAAAGCTGCTGATTGCATATGTTCAAGGTCCTTTGGTAATCTTTTATTTTTGATGCATAGTTCAGGGTTCCCATAGCCTTGGCATAAATCATAAGCAACATTTTACAAATGCAGTTGAACCTCTAAAAACATTTTACCAATGTTTAAATAAAAAATTACAATGATTTAGAGCTGCTGGTTGCATATGTTCAAGGTCCTCTGCTAATATTTTATTTTTGATGTATAGTTCAGGGTTCCCATAGCCTTGGCATCATAAGCAACATTTTACAAATGCAGTTGAACGTTTGTAAAACATTTTACCAATAGAAAATTACAATGATTTAGAGCTGGTTACATGTTCAAGGTCCTCCAGCAATCTTTCATTTTTGCTGTATATAGTTCAGGGTTCCCAGCCACACCTAGGCATTATAAGCAACATTTTACAAATGAAATTTGACTGTGAGAGGTTCAACTAACTAGTTCAACTAACTACAGTCAACCCCCCTCTAATGGATTTGATTTGTGCAAGGGACGAGTCTGTTAGACAAAAAGTCCTTTACACAAATTCAATTACATAAAAAATTAAAAATTTCAATTTTCAACACTAATTTTAAACCAAAAGAAGTCTGTTTGGTGGATTTTGTCTGTTGGGCGGGAGAAAAAACTGCCTGCAGAGCTGGTCTGTTTGGCAAAAATCCCTTACACGGAAGGTCTGTTAGGCAGGGGGCCACTGTAGTTGAACCTCTCAAAGTCAAATTTCAAGGACTAGCAAAAAAATTTACTTTGGGATAGGTTTTGACTTAAAGAGGTTTTGAACTAGGGAAATGAATATTTTTGTTTTGAGAAACATGGAAGAATTACTGGAAATAGTAAATGGTGATATTCTGGGTCTTATTTACTTTTTAAATGAGTTGACAGGATGCTGAACTTGGAGGCAGGGGTTTGTTTGTTCAATTAATCTTTCACTTCCTTTCAAAACACATCATCACCTTTTTTTCTCTTTCCTGTGTGAAGAAAATATTGGCTGAAAGGCCTCAGGAAATTGAAGTTATGGAGGATTGAGAGGAAAAGCCTTTGAGTTAGAGAGGTTTTGATGCATGGTTTCTAAGGGAATTCAGATGGGGACTTTAAAAAAATCTGACGTACCGTATTATATTGTAATGTATTCAGCATAGGGAGGTTCAAGTTATCAGGGTTCAACTGTAATTTATACAAAATCACCATGATTTGAGCTGGTTACCTCACATGTTAAAGGTCCTTTGGTAATCTTGTATTTTTGCAGTACAGTTCAGGGTTCCCATCAGAAGTCCACCTTTATGGGCATCATGAGCAACATTTTACAAATACTATATTTGAAAAAAAAAATACTGCAGGGAGACATTTTGGTGCTTATTTTCATTCTGCCATTTTTGAAATGGGAAATTTTGAATGTTCAGAAACTTTGCACTTACATTCTACTGTATTTTAATGAAGATGGACTATTGAAAGCAGCTTACAGGCTTATTGCTGGAAATTTCGAAACCTTTCTATTTGAAGGTTTGTTTATTCTCATCTATAGAGCTGTAGATGCCGGGATCACGATAGTGAATGAAGTCGGTCTGGACCCTGGCATCGACCATCTGCTTGCCATGGAATACATCGACTATGTGCATATGAACGGAGGCAAGATTGAAAGCTTCGTGTCCTACTGTGGAGGGTTGCCAGCTCCAGAACATTCAGAGAACCCATTGAGGTACAAGTTTTCCTGGAGTCCACGAGGAGTCCTGCTCAATGCTCTCAGTGGGGCCAAATATGTCTTGGACGGGAAGGTTAGTCCCTCTACATGCATATCCATCATGACTATTACCTTCTTCGCACACTTCGTCTTTCCTGAAATTTATTTCTTTGCAAAGATGAATGAGTCCTACTTTTATGACGTGTTTATGTGCTTCACAGCGCTGAAGATGTGTGAGTTGTGAAGGATTTTGTGCTTTTTCACGAGGTTTACGCGAGGGGATGATGATGATGCACCGGATGATTTTGTTTGCTGGTCACTGCGAAGTAGTTCTGACATCTGTATGATTCCTAATGAACCTAAGCTGGTTTTGAATTATTTTTATGTCCACTAGGTGTCGTGGTCAACGTCACGCGACTTTAACCGTAAGCAGAGGATTGGATATGTTTTTGTTTGTAGAGATTTGTTGGCATTTGAAATTTTATTTTATCAAATCTGAAATTTCTTTCGACTTCGGATTGGCTAACGGGTTTTCTGTCTTCCTTAAAAAAAAAATCTGGAAAAAAACGGAAACCGTGGGAAGGTCATCGACGTGCCACCCGGATCTCTGATGAGCCATGCTGAACCCGTTGGGTTCCTGCCGGGTTTTGCTCTGGAAGGATACCCCAACAGGGACTCTCTCATTTACAAAGACCTGTATGGCATTTCTGAAGCAAAGACAGTGTTGAGAGGCAGCCTGAGATATTCTGGCTATTCGGAGACGATGAACGCTTTGGTGAAGTTGGGCATGATCGATTCCAAGAGTCATCCTACTTTCCATTCGCAAGGACCTGAGCTTTCTTGGGTACGAATCTCATTTCGAGTTTGTTTAAAAGAAAAACATTTTCGGAAAATAATTCATAGAATCCACTCAAACTTAGATTTGTGGGATCGCCCTATCCTGAAAATTAATTCCTCTGCCACCGATGAAGGTTTATTTCAGCTGAACAGTCGAATCTAAAATATATTGAAAAACTCAAACCAAAGCCACATACAGGAGGATCAATGTGCTGCTCCAGCATTTTTTGAAGATCGAGTTTCACTGAATAACTTATGAACTGATCACTAAATGAATGAACATAATTTTTAAAATATTATCTATTGTCAGAGAGCTTTTAATATAATATTAATGGCCTTTTTACTCGAATTCCCTGTGAAATCTAATTTTCAATTTCAGCGTTTTAAACCATTTGTGGACATTCAAGAAATTTGATATGTTGCCAAAATTGAAATTTTTCGTGCAATTGATGTTCTGCCAACGAAATACAATTACCAGGATTGATAATGGTTATCTATATGCATCATGTTTTCGTTTGTACAACTCCATTTCAAGTGCCAAAAAGATGGACAACACATGCAAAACAACGATTTTCAATATTTACTTCAACTCAAAAACCTCCCTGTCAAACGTTTGGGTGATACACATTTGAGAGTTTATCTTAAATTAAGATGTTTAAAGTTGAGTTACTCTTTGAAAATTGCAGAAGATATGTACTTTCAGTTACAAAGTGAATTGTGATGGTCTTGGAAAATGATTGGAAAGTGACATGATGGTTTTGGCTATTTCAAATAATGATCTACCAACTTGAAATTTTTTTTTTGGATTCAATGCCTGAAACTGTTTTCATATGATTCCCGCAATGAATTGTGTTTCTAAAACATCTCTCCACAGCGCAAGTTTGTCTGTGCCCAAATGGGGAAAAGTGAAGACACCTTTTTTGAGAATGTCAAGAGGGACTTGGAAAATGTGGTGGGTTCAGCCACAGCTGTGGATGCCCTGGAACAACTTGGACTTCTTTCTGATGACCCTGTTGTAAAATTTGACACTCCTTTGGACACGCTTTCAAATTATTTGTCCAAGAGACTGAGACTGGGTGAGAAGATCATTCTTCAATTGAATGTTTTTTTTGCTCTGTAATTTTTAAATTGAAGATGCATCCTACCATTATTTTGGTACTTTCCTGTTATCTCAGTACCTCATTCCTAGACCGCACTACCATCCAGACAAGTCTTTAAGACAAGTTCATAATCACGACAACCTACCAGAAACTGTGAATTTTATTTTTCCGCATTCTGCTGAAACTGTAAAGGCATAAACCTGGTTTGCTATGGTGATGTTGGAGAGAAGGGCTACTCAGCCATGGCCAAAACAGTTGGATACCCTTCTGCAATTGCCACAAAAATGGTTCTAAACGGTGTGTATAATCATTTATTTATTTATTCATTTTTGGTAATCTCATGAGCTGTGACATGTATACTGCTTGGTACATTAGGTGTGACCCACTCATATATCCAACACCTGGAGAAATATATATAAGTTTCTATGACTTTTACACCCATGGCATATGGCTTCAGTCTATAGAATAAATCTTATTAAATGTTTTATCATGTGCTGACAAAGTTTTTGAGGAGGTAACTGCATTTTGCCTCAATTAAATTAATGTATCCACAGACCGAGTCACTTGATGAAAAATGATTACAGATTCCCTACTTCATTATCATCCTATTTAATTTGGGATAACATGATTTATGCGCAAATGGAAATTATTTCAAATAAGTTACACTGGGCTCTGAACAAATTTAATGTTGGCACTCTCTTTGAGAGCTTACATTTCAAAGATATAAGCAGAGCTTGACAAATTATCTTTTTTTTCTCAGAAAGACTGACTAAATTTGCGACACTTTCAATGATTGTTTGATTAAGGCTGCAGGTGGAAGATTTCCTCCAACATTAACTTGACGAACAAATTTAATGTTGGCACTCTCTTTGAGAGCTTAAATTTCAAAGATACCTAAAAGCTCAAATTTCAAAGTAATCCTAAAAGACAAGTTTTAGCAGAAGCTTTTGTGCCAATTGGGTTTCACCCCAACTCACACAGGAATCTGTAAAACAACCAATGATCATAAAATCTGCAGATCTTTAGAAACCAAAACAGCTGGAAACAGAAGACATTTAAAATAGAAACTCAATTTATAAACAATAATCTCAGTGGAAATATTCCATATCCTAGAAGGATAGTCTTCCTAAAAACCTCTCAGACATTCTAAACTTTGATTTGAGCAGTGGCACTGCCAAGAACTCTTGATTATGTGGTGCATTTTGTGACTTATGCAAATTTAACCATCCAGAGAATATACCAATTTTATACAGTAATAGAGTGTTCAGTCACCCTGGCTGTAGCCCAACCAAACTCTTCAATCTTCACAATTTTCAAAGTTTATTCAATCTTCACAATTTTCAAAGTTTATTCAATCTTCACAATTTTCAAAGTTTATTCAATCTTCACAATTTTCAAAGTTATTCTTAATAGAAAGTATTATGAACTTTTTGAAAATCCTATTTTTTTTTCATTTTCTATATAATTGATGCATGTTCATTGTTGCCATCATGTCCCAAGCCTGGAAGCACATAATTTGTTCATGGGAGTATACAGGTGGACTCTGTCTAACCACGACTTTTCCTATGCTGGTGGATTCTCTCTACAACAAAATTCAGAGGACCAAAAAAAATTCTTTGTAGAGAGAATTCTGTTTCAGAGAGGTGTACCTAAAGCATGGGGAGAGAACCCTATGCTATGGAACCTCAAAAAATCGTTATACAGAAAAAATTGTTGTAGACAAGATTGACAATGAGTCCACCTGTATAACGATTTTTCTGGCACTTCTGGATTCTCTCCTTTAGATTTTTCTACAACGAAATTCTATCTTCAACAAATTGTTTGTGGTCCCTTGGATTTTGTGGTAAAGAGAGTCCACGCTTTTATTCTTTTCCTCCCTAAAAATGAAGCTAAGAAAAAGTAATCCTCCCCAGCACCCTATTATTATTTTTTTAATCACTGCTTGCCCTGCTTTTTTCAATCCGCAATTCTTTATGTGAAGAATTACAAGATTAAATTAGAAATACAGTACAGTGAGACCCCAAGATGCGGACATAATTGGTGCATCAAGAGCGTCCCTAAGTTGAAATGTCCCTAACATATAATTTTCCATTGGTGTTTAATGTACAAAATATTCACCATAATTCCATGAAAAAAAAAATTGTCTCCCAATTGAAACTG